TGGGCTGCAATAAAAATTCTGATACAAATATCTTTGTTGTAATGCGATTTTTGGTCGTCTGGGAATATACCTAATAAAGGAATTGCAGGGTCAAAGGGCAGGTCTATTTTTAGTTCTCTAAGTGTTCTCGGTACTTGCTAGTTTTAAAAATGAAGGAAGCTGCTGTGTGTCCAGGGATATAGGCAGCAGCTAGATGTTGAACAAGGCAAGAAAGCAGATTCTCCCTGAGAGCATCCAGAAAGACCTGGCAACTCACTGATGGTAGCCAGCCAGAGAGACCTACTTCAGACTTCTGAACTCCAGAAATTTAAAAGATACATTTGTGTTATTTTAAACCACATTTGTGGACAGTTATTACAGCAGCTCTAGAAAACGAGTTCATTTATCTTTGCCTGAATAATTATTTTAACACTTGTCCATAAAGAACTCATTCAAAATGCGTACTTTGGATGCCCACATGCATGTCTGTATGCCAAACAGCCTGAGAAATAATTAGGAAAATGCCCCCTTCAATCAAGATTTCATCATAATTTTAATCACATAACTTTATCGGCAATGGGCTAATGATTTGAACTATAACTGAGGGAAAAATGTCCATTATTTTATATACAAGAGAGACTTGTATATATAAAGTGGTAATAAACATGGTATATATTCCTAAAACATTTTATTATTATTTGTATATCTTCAAATTGATATGCTATGTAAAAGGTGGAGCATTAATCCAAATTTTAAGATGAATAAAGAAAACCTTGTTAAATGGGAGGGTCTCCTCACACACACATCCTTTCTCCAGAAGTATACTTTCATCCTTCTTCAGTCTGAGGACTGCTTGATAGAAATGTTTGGAAGCTTCAGGCAGCGTCTGTGGCTCAGTGGGTAGGGCACCCCCCATATACTGAGGGTGGCAGGTTCAAACCCGGTCCCGGCCAAACTGCAACAGAAAAAATAGCTGGGCAGGTACCTGTAGTCCCAGCAACTCGGGAGGCTAAGGCAAGAGAATTGTCTAAGCCCAAGAGCTGGAGGTTGCTGTGAGCTGTGATGTCACAGCACTCTACCAAGGGCAATAAAGTGAGACTCTGTCTAAAAAAAAAAAAAAA